AACTTAAAACTTCCCACAAATAAAAGTTCAGGCTACTACTACTTTAGTGGTGCATTCTACCAAATGTTTAAAGAATCATTAATGCCAATCTGTCACAAAAAAAAGAAGAGGAAGAAACACTTTCCAATGCACGTTTTAAAAATATTTTATTTATTTGGCAGAGAGAGAGAGAGAGAGAGAGAGAAAAGAAGAAAGAAGAAAGGAAGAAGAAGAAGAAGAAGAAGAAGAAGAAGAAGAAGAAGAAGAAGAAGGAGGAGTGGCAGGCAGAGGGAGAGGGAGAAGCAGGCAGGGCTAGATCTGAGGACTTTGAGAACATGACCTTAGCCAAAGGCAGCTGCTTAACCAACGAAGACTTCCAGGTGCCTCTTTCCAACTCATTCTATGAGTCCAATACTCCTTTGATAAAAAATCAGAGAAAGACATCACAAGAAAACTACAGAGCAATATCCCTTGTGGATAAAAATGTAAATCTTCTCAACAAAATACTAGCAAACCAAATCCAGCCCATTATAAAACGGATTATACATCATGACCAAGTAGGATTAATCCCAGAATGCAAGTTGGTTTAATATCCAAATATCAATTGATTTAAAATATCCTATTACTAGAATAGAGGACAAAACCCACATGATGGCCTCAGTTGAAACATCATTTGACAAAATCCAAAATCCTTTCATGATTCAAAACAAAACCCAACACAGAACTAAGAATAGAAGGGAATTCCCACAACCTGATAAAGGACATCTATGAAAAACTCACAGAAAACATCATAGTCAATGCCAAAAGGCTTTCCTACTAATATCAGTAACAAACAAGTATATCCATGCTCATCATGTCTATTCAACATTGTATAAAAGTTGTAGCTAGGGGGCGCCTGGCTGACTCAGTCTGTGGAGCTTGCAACTCCTCATTTTGGGGTGATGAGTTTGAACTCAACTTTAGACATAGAGATTACTTTTTAAAAAGTTGTAGTTAAGACTAAAAAGTTTTAGTCAATAAAAAAGAATAAAGGCATCCAGATTGGAAAGCAAGAAATAAAACTATTTTCTTCTCTTCCTCCCTCCTTCTCTCTTTCTCCCTTCCTTCCTTCATTCCTTCCTTCCCTTCTTCCCCTGCTGCAAAAAGTTTTGTTTGTTTGTTTGTTTGTTTGTTTCCATTTGGTCCACAGTTGGTTAAAAAGCTGCATAGTGGCTGTAGGGAGAAGCTCCAGCAAAAGCCCTGGCATGAGAGGGATCCCAGAGGGGCCCCTCAAAGGCTGTTTATTTAGTTAGTGGTTCTCCAGGAAGCAGTAAAACTTTATAGTCACAGATGATATGATACTGTATGTAGAAAATCCTAAGGAATCCACAAAACATTGTTATTTTTTTTTTAATTTTTTTATTTATTCATGATAGACATACAGAGAGAGAGAGAGACAGGCAGAGACACAGGCAGAGGGAGAAGCAGGCTCCATGCACCGGGAGCCCGATGTGGGATTTGATCCCGGGTCTCCAGGATTGCGCCCTGGGCCAAAGGCAGGCGCCAAACCGCTGCGCCACCCAGGGATCCCATCACAAAACATTGTTATTACTAATAAGTGAGTTTAGCAAGTTTGTAGGATACTAGATCCATATACAAAAATCAGTTGTATTTCTATACACTAGCAATTAACAAAATAAAAATGAATTTAAGAATATAATTCCATTCACAGTAGCATAAGAAATAATAAGATACACAGAAGTGAATTTAACAAAGTAAAAGACTTGTATACTTGAAAACTGTAAAACATGTTTTAAAGAACTTTAAGACCTAACTAAATGGAAAGACATCCCATGTTCATCAATCAGGAGACTTAATACTCTTAAGAGGGTATTACTCCCAAACTGATCTACAGATTCAATTCAATCCTTATCTAAAATCCCAGCTGGCTTTTTTGACAATCTGATCCTAAAATCCATATGGACACACAAGAAGACCATTATAGTCTTGAAAAAGAACAAAATTGGGCAGCCTGGGTGGCTCAGCGGGTTTAGCTCCGCCTTCAGCCCAAGGCCTGATCCTGGGGTCCCGGGATGAGTCCCACATCCGGCTCCCTGCATGAAACCTGCTTCTCCCTCTGCCTGTGTCACTGCTCTCTCTCTATGTCTCTAAATAAATAAAATCTTAAAAAAAAAAAAAGAACAGGGATCCTGGGTGGCGCAGCGGTTTGGCGCCTGCCTTTGGCCCAGGGCGCGATCCTGGAGACCCGGGATCGAGTCCCACGTCAGGCTCCCGGTGCATGGAGCCTGCTTCTCCCTCTGCCTGTGTCTCTGCCTCTCTCTCTCTGTGTGTGACTATCATAAATAAATAAAAATTAAAAAAAATTTAAAAAAAAGAACAAAATTAGAGGACTCTCACATTTTGGTTTCAAAACCTATTACAAAGCTACAACAATCAATACAGTGTGACTGTAGCATAAAGGAAGATATGTAGGTCAACGAATTAGAACTGAGAATCCAGAGTTTCGACAAATTGAATTGTGCCAAGACAGTTCATTGGGGAAAAGAATAGTCTTTTCAATATATGGGGCTGGGTTACAACTGGATAGTCACTTGCAAAAAAAATAAAGTTGGGCCCTCGTTTTATGCCTTATATAAAAATTAACTAAAAATAGATTAAAGACCCAAATGTAAAAGCTAAAACTATAGAACTCCTTTAAAAAACAGGGGAAGAGTTTCATGACATTGTATGAGGCAATGATTTCCTGGATATGATGGCCAAAGCAAGGCAACAAAAGAAAAAAATAGATAAACTGGGCAGCATCAAAATGGAAACCGTGCACCCAAGGACAGTTAACAGAGTGAAAAGGCAGCCTAGAGAAGGGGAGAAATAATTTGTAACTCATACATCCGACAAGAGGTTAGTCCAGAATACAGAGAGAACTAGAGAGCTCCCACAATAATAATAAGATGTATAATACAATTTAAAAATGGCAAACAACTTGAATAGACATTTCTCCATAGGTCTACAAATAATCAACAAGACTATGAGAAGATACTCAACTCACCCATCATCAGGGAAATGCAAATCAAAACCACAATGAGATATCACCTGACACCCACTAGAATGGCTTTTATTAAAAAACAAAAAGCCAACAGGAAATAACAAGTGTTGGTGAGGATGTGAAGAAATTGGAACCCTTGTACACTGTTGGTGGGAATGTAAACTTGTGTAATTATTACGGCAAATATGATGGCAATTCCTCAAAAATAGAATTACCACATGATCCAGCTATTCCACATCTGAATATATACTCAAAAGAATTGAAGGCAGGGTCCTCGAAAGAGAATTGTACACCTGTGTTTATAATAGCATTCTTCACAATAGCCAAGAAGTGGAAGCAGCTCAGGATCTATCAGTGGATGAATGGATAAACAAAATGTAGCACATGCATATAATGAAATATTACTCAGTTATTAAAAAGAAATGAAGTTCTGGCACATGGATGAACCTTGAGGACATTATGCTAAGTGAAATAAGCGAGTGACAAAAAGACAAATACGGTGTGATTCCCACTTATATGAAATACCTAGAGTGGTCCATTTATACAGACAGGAAGTTGAATGATGGTTGCCAGGGACCGGGGAGAGAAGGAAATGGTATCTTGTTGCTTAATGAGAATAGGGTATCAGTTTTACAGGATGCAAAGGCTCTGGAGATTGCACAACATAAATACACTTAACATTACTGAACTGTACACTTAAAAATAATTAAGATGGTAAGTTTTTTTTTATAAATTTATTTTTTATTGGTGTTCAATTTGCCAACATATAGAATAACACCCAGTGCTCATCCCGTCAAGTGCCCACCTCAATGCCCATCTCCTAGTCACCCTCAACCCCCGGCCACCTCCCCTTCCACCACCCCTAGTTCGTTTCCCAGAGTTAGGAGTCTTTCATGTTCTGTCTCCCTTTCTGATATTTCCCACTCATTTCTTCTCCCTTCGCTTATATTCCCTTTCACTATTATTTATATTCCCCAAATGAATGAGAACATACACTGTTTGTCCTTCTCCGATGGACTTATTTCACTCAGCATAATACCCTCCAGTTCCATCCATGTCGAAGCAAATGGTGGGTATTTGTCATTTCTAATGTCTGAGTAATATTCCATTGTATACATAGACCACATCTTCTTTATCCATTCAAGATGGTAAGTTTTATATAATGTATGCTTCTCCACAATTTTTTAAAAGGCTATCAAAAAATGCTTATTTATGTTTCCAGAAATGTGAGGTGGTGAGATATTACATAATTTATCAGATTTGAGACAATTTTTCTCTGTGAACCTTGACTTCTGTACTTCAACCTCTGTGTCTACCTGGTTCCTCAAAAATTAGCCTGGCAGCTATCATTTGAGCCTACTGCCAGGCTTTTCCTTTTTTTTTTTTTAAAGATTTTATTTATTTATTCATGAGAATACACAGAGAGGAGAGAGAGAGGCAGAGACACAGGCAGAGGGAGAAGCAGACTTCACGCGGAGAGCCTGACGTGGGACTCGATCCAGAGTCTCCAGGATCATACCCTGGGCTGCAGGCGGTGCTGAACCACTGAGCCACCGGGGCTGCCCTGCCAGGCTTTTCCATATATACTTCTCAACAACCCTCTAGTGAGCAAATTAAAGCTCAGAAAGGCTCAGTGACATTTTCTAAGATGGTATGAGGGACGGTGCTGTCATTGGGACCCATGGCCTGACCCTAAAGCCTGGGTTCTCCTCCTACTGTACCTCATGCCCCTCAAGCTAGCTTCATCCTAACAACCACTTGGGATGCCTCAAAAATTCAGATTCCCCCTTAGAGATGAACTTCTCTAGGAGTTGATGAATGTTGAAGCTATGATCCCGTAATGAAGAAATTAATAAAGAGATGAATGAAGCCAGGAGTGAGTACAGGGACGGGCTAAGGGAGCCTTGAATGGGTGGGGTCTGGAAAAGAAGGAAGACCAGAGCGGAAAGCAGAAATCACACTCTGTGGTAATCAGAGCCCTTACAGTCAGTCTAGCCTGGCTGAGTTCAGAGACCATTGGGGAAAGTCCAAGGCCTGTAGCCATTGCCAGGCTGAAAAGAGGCCAGTCCAGACACAGCTGTGTGTGCTCCCAGCCGCAAAGGAGGCTCAGGCAAGATGCCCTAAGGAGGGAAGGGTGACAGGGACACTGGGTAGGGGAGGAGCAGATCTTTCTCTAGAAAGATCGCTCTGGATGGGGGTGAGGGGGTGGGGGAGCGGCGGTGGGGGGCACCTGAGTGATTCAGTCCATTAAGCATCTGCCTTTGGCTCAGGTCCTGATCCCAGGGTTGTGAGAAGGAGCCCCGCATCCGCTTCCGGCTCCCTGCTCAACGGGGAGTCTGCTTCTCCCTCCTGCGTTTTTCTCCTTCTGCTCCACCCCTCCACCCCCCCCCACCCCCCCACCCCGCCTGCCGCTTTCTCTCCTCTCTCTCCCGAATAAATAAACAAAATTTTAAGAAAGAAAGAAAGAAAGAAAGAGAAAGAAAGAAAGAAAGAAAGAAAAGAAAGAAAGAAAGAAAGAAAGAAAGAGAAAGAATCACTCCGGCTCCTGTGGGGAAGGTGACTTTAAAGGGAAGAACCCGGGAGGAGGGAAGATCTGATCCCAAACAGAGAGCCAAGGGAAATGAATTCCATTAAGGTTTTGGAAGGACCCTTGGCCAGGGCTTTGTGGGGATGTGGGGTTGGTGAGAGAGAAGAAGCAATCTGTGTTATCTACTCAAGTACTTCAGCAACAGTCCAAAAAAACAGATCTTTAACAGATGGAAGTGGGGGCGGGGGATGGGCAAGGGTCAGTCAGGAAGAGAGAAGTGGGCTGTCACTTTTGTTGGGTGACTCCCAGGACTCTAAGCACTTGTTTAGTTGGCTGTTCTGCATGGGGTGCTTTTATTTTATATAATTAATTCATTGACTGATTTTTTGGTGGGGGGAGAGGGAGAGAGAGAGACAGGGTTGGGGGAGGGGGGCAGGGAGGAGCAGAGGGAGGGGGAGAGGAAGACTCTTTTTTTAATTTTTTTGAGAGGGAGACTCTTAAGTAGACTTCATGCCCAGTGCAGAAGCCTACACGGGGCTTGATCTCACAACCCAGAGATCATGACCTGAGCTGAAATCTAGAGTCGGGTGCTTAACCGAATGAGCCACCCAGGCGCCCCCATGGGTACTTTCATATTGTCTCTAGTGTCCAGGGATCACTGCCCTTGTTTTCTGAAGGGTAGGATAGGGATCTGGTGCATTAGTCTAGAAAGAGCCAAGGAGACCAGTATTATGACAGGCTGGAGGAAGGAAATGGCTTTTAGAGAACAGGGAAGGAAAAAGTCTGAGGAAGCAAAAGTTAGAAGCCACCACTCTTTCTATTTCTGCATTATTTAACCAAATGCCACCTGTGTGTTACATCCCTTGACCCCAGGGCTGATTGGGAGAACTCAGCAGAGCTGGGTCACTGCCTTCCCCCAGCTTGCTGGTTTCCAAACTGGCACGGGAACCCAGGTGAGCCAGGGTGTAATGGAGAGCACTTGCTGGACATGGCGTGAGGGCACTGTGTGTCCCTGGCCCTTTTCAGGGGAGCAGGGCATGGACCTGAACTATTTAATTACCTTTCTTTCTTTTTTTTTTTTAATTTTTTAAATTTATTTACTCATGAGAGACAGAGAGAGAGAGAGAGGCAGAGACACAGGCAGAGGGAGAAGCAGGCTCCATGCTGGGAGCCTGATGTGGGACTCGATCCCAGGTCTCCAGGATCATGCCCTGGGCCCAAGGCAGGTGCTAAACTGATGAGCCACCCAGGGATCCCCTTTAATTACCTTTCTTAAGTAAATTTGAGAGAAGATGAGGGCACAAAGACATGTCCTCCAATTTAGGAAAACTCTTCCAGGCTGATCCACTCATCCCAGGTGGATGAATGAGCCTGGCAAGCCTGGGATGAGAAAGCCCCCTTTTGCCAAGCTTCTCTTCTTCAGGTTCGGGGAGCCTCGGCAGCCCAGCACTGAAGGAACAGGGCCTAACCCCATCCTTCACTGGACACAGGGGGCCGAGGGGAGCCCTGCATGAGGCTCTCTTGGCTCAGGCCCTGACCTCCCTAACCTCCACCTGCAGGGACAGAAAGACATGGCCTGGAGACTGATAGCGCTTGCGCTGCTGTTGGCCTGGACAGCCCCCACGTGCAGGGCCCGGGTCAGGACAGACCTGCTCAATGTCTGCATGGACGCCAAGCACCACAAGGCAAAGCCAGGCCCAGAGGATAAACTGCATGCCCTGGTGAGGCAGAAGGGTGGTTCAAGTTGAGGAGGGGGGCGGTTCTAACGTGGGAACAAGTCAGGGTGGTAGGGGAAGGACCGACTGCTCAGAAACCCCCACATCCCAGGTTATTGCTATGGGAGCAGATGAAGGTAAGGTGGCGGGTATGGGTGGAGGTGGTTTTAGAGGTGGCCTCCTCAGAGAATTCCATGGCTGCGATGATATGATCTAATCACTGTTGAGCACTTATCAGGTGTTGTATTTACTGCACATGATTTCATATTCCCTTTGTCGGTCCTTTGAGGTAGGAGACAATATTCTCCCCTACATAACACAAATGAGAAAACTGAGGCCCAGAGAAGCCAAGGACACACAGAGGGCTGAGACGTAAGCAGCCTCTGTGGTTGCATAGGGCGAGGACTCCGGTGGGCACTCTCAGTGGTTTGGAGGGTAAGAGATTGTCGGGGAGGACGGTTCTTCCTACCTTCACTATGAGCCAGTCCATGGAGTGTCAAGGGTAGAGGAGGTCTCTTAGGGCTGTGATACAGGGTAACAGGTGCGGTACATTCACACATTCTGTAAAAGTGGATGCCAGTCGGTTGCAACTCTATTGAGATTCCACGTCTTCCTTTTATGATAAATACTCTTTAGACTCTGTTTTCTATCCTGGAATAAAATTCAAAGCCAATAGAACTTATTTGCATATTTAACTTAAAAAAATAACACGAGGGGCAGCTAGGTGGCTCAGTTGGTTAAGCATCTGTCTTCAAGTCATGATCTTGGGGTCCTGGGATTGAGTCCCTCATGGGCTCCCTGCTTGGTGGGGAGTCTGCTTCTCCCTCTCCCTCTGTCTTCTGCCCCCTGCTCATGCTCTCTTTCTCTCAAATAAATAAAATCCTTAAAAAATATATATCAACATAATTATCTGTAATACAAAGGAGAAGCACAAAGGAAGTAACTTATAATAAAATAAAATATATTTCAATATTTTAATTCTCTGGCATGACTATGTTAGAAATCACTATCAAACAGCATTTTTGTTTTTGTTCACCAAATCGCTATGAATGGGACAGTTACAGCTGTACAGCTGTAGATCAATAACAGGTGTATTCTATTAGCAACTTAAATGCTGTAAAATATGCTAAGCTATGTTGCCACTGATGACATAATTTTCTATAACAGTGAATAATTCTGGTAAAACAAAGCACATAGCAAGGCCTTTCTTTTTCAGAGTATTTGCAGTCCTGAAAAAGCCCATCTATATTAAACACTTGCTAAATAAATATGGTGTGTCTATATGTAAGATGGAGTTCAGTTGAGATTTAGGGAAATCATAACTAGGTCTTTCGTTTACTTCTTTCAGCAAATATTTTTATGGGTCTGCCATGGCACTGGCCTCACCGCTGGGGAAACAGACCCTATTACTTGCTGAGAAGTTACTCAGCATACATTACCACGTAGGTCATTCCCTTCTTCCTTTGCTCAAAATGTCACCTCCCGGTGAAGCTTTTCACAACCACCTTAGTTAAAATTTCAAAGATTATCTCATACTCCACATTCCTATTCCCTGCTATAATTCTGTCCATATAATTGATCAGATCCTGACACTAGACTTTTTTTTTTCTCTTAGTTTCTTACTGTGTGTCCCCACTGATCAGGATGGGATGTAAGTTCCATGAACACATATTGCTGTCTGGTTTGTTCTCTATCATATTCTCGGCATCTAGAACATGACTGGAATAGAAATGGGTGCTCAGTAATTATTATTATTTTTAAAAGATTTTATTTATTTATTTGAGAGAGAGACAGAGATAGTGGCGGGGAGAGCAGAGAGGAGAGGGAAAGGAGGCTCCTCGCTGAGCAGGGAGCCCAATGTGGGGCTCCAGCCCAGGACCCTAAGACCATGACCTGAACTGAAGGCAGACACTTAACTGACTGAGCCACCCAGGTGCCCCTCAGTAATTATTTTTCAATGAATAAATAAATCAAAGAATTTTCTATATAAAATGTGAAGGGGGGATCCCTGAATGGCTCAGCGGTTTGGGGCCCACCTTCAGCCCAGGGCCTGATCCTGGAGTCCTGGGATCGAGTCCTGCATCGGGCTCCCTGCATGGAGCCTGCTTCTCCCTCTGCCTGTGTCTCTGCCTCTTTCTCTCTGTGTCTCTCATGAATAAGTAAATAAAATCTTAAAAAAAGAAAAGTGTGAAGGGGTGCATAAATGACAGCTATTGTCCCCTGAGGACAGGGTTTCTCTCCAGCTCCCTCAAGCCCTGATCAGCCCTGTTGTGACTGAGTCTCCTCTCAGATGGGTGTTCCTGGACATCAAGAACAGAGGGGTCCTCACAGTAAACTTTCCTGGGATAACCCACTTGAGCAGGAGAACAAGAACCAGACAGAAAAGGCTGGAGGTGGCAGAAGGTTGTGGGGAAGGGGGGCAGTTAGTCCGGGTCTCCCCCACGCAGTGCACTCCCTGGAGGAAGAAGGCCTGCTGCACCGTCAGCACCAGCCAGGAGCTGCACAAGGACACCTCCCGCCTGTATAACTTCACCTGGGACCACTGCGGCAAGATGGAGCCCGCCTGCAAGCACCACTTCATCCAGGACAACTGTCTCTATGAGTGCTCACCCAACCTGGGGCCCTGGATCCAGGAGGTACGGGACTGCCCCTCACCCCCACCCAGCAGGCTGCCATCCAGCTTGGACAAGGCCATGGCTGCCCCCACCCCTGGCTGAAGGGAGCCCTCCCTCTTGGCCTCCCACGCAGGTGAACCAGAGCTGGCGCAAGGAGCGCATCCTGCACGTGCCCCTGTGCAGAGAGGACTGTGAGCAATGGTGGCGGGACTGCCGCACCTCCTACACCTGCAAGAGCAACTGGCACAGGGGCTGGAACTGGACCTCAGGTGAGGGCTTGGGGGTGGGGAGACGGAGGGGGGCTTTGAGGATCTGGGATTGGGTGAGGATTTCTGGGGGTGGCCAGAAATGAGCTTTGGGCCCGGGGTGGGGGGTGGGGTGAATGTGCCTGCCCTCTCTCCCCTGCAGGAGTGAACAAGTGTCCAGCTAGGACCACCTGCCGCACATTTGAGGCCTACTTTCCCACGCCTGCAGCCCTGTGTGAGGGCATCTGGGATCACTCCTACAAGGCCACCAACTACAGCCGGGGGAGTGGCCGCTGCATCCAGATGTGGTTTGACCCGGCCCAGGGTAACCCCAATGAGGAGGTGGCGAGGTTCTACGCAGGGGCCAGGAACGCTGGGGTTATGCCCCAAGGGATTGAGTGTCTCCTGCTCAGCCTGGCCCCCATGCTGTACCTCTGGCTCCTTGGCCGAGTCTAGCCCGACCCAGATGTCCGCTCTGCATGTCCCGGGTTCTGATGACCAAGCTGGGTTCAGCTCAGCTCTCACAAATGTGGGTACCCTAAGTGAGCCTCCATCTATTATCCATCCTTCCCTTTTGTCATCCAGTTTCTGCTCCATGGTGGGCCTTGGGGTTTCTCTGGCAATCAGTTCAAATAAAGAGACAGACACATCTGTGTCAGATGAATCATTCTGGTTCCAGTAGGTAGAGGACAGAATCCACAGTCGTTGGATTCTTTCAGATCAGAGAAATAAGACCTGGGTGTGAATCTCAGCTCTTCTACTGCCTATGCTACAGTGAAGCAGTTGCCTGTCTATTCTAAAGCTTAGGTTCCTCCCCGATAAAATGAGGATAATGATCCTTCCTTCCCTCTGGGTTGTGAAATACAAAGGAGCTGTTGCCTAGAAAGCATGTAAGTCCAGTGCCTGCACTTTAATAATCCTCAGGGATCCTGTTGCTCCTGTAGCCACAAATGAGAGCCAGGTCCAGAACTTTGTTACTTATGTTGCTCCCAAATATAACCCCTTTCTGCCAGGCGCTGTCTGCCTGGCTCTGTGCTCGGCTGTGCAATGGGAAAGCTGGGGATGGGAGTCCAGAGAAGACTCTGAATTCCCAGTGGGGGTGAAAAAAAATTTGCCCGTTATGTGGATTGAAGGGACAGAGTTGAGGCTTGGACCCTCAGAGGAGGAAGAGAGAGCACTGGGGAGGGCAGTCTGGGACTGGAAGAGGAAATGCTTAAGAGCCTTGAATTGGTTTACCCCTGCTGAGTCCGAGGGGCTTGGGTGGGAAAAGGTTGGAAACTCTTAGGAGCTTCCTGGGGCAGGAGCCTGGCCTCTCCTCGGGCATCTTTGTCCCCTCCAGGGATTGCTAGATATGCCTATCTGGTCTTTGCACCGCCCCCAGGAACTCGGTCTGAGTTGATGTCTGGGTCTCCCTCTTGCCCTTTCGCCCTGGGGAAGCCTTTGTCTCTGCATCTCCCTCACAGCTATCCCCAGAGGCACAGGTACCTGTCTGAGGACACCAGGCAGGACTAGAACTCAGGTGTGAAGACTCCTCGTCCAGGTCTGCCCCCTCCACCGCACCAGGGTGCCCCCTTCATAGCTCTCACCGTCCCTCCCACCTAAAGCTGAGTGACGAGGAAGTTGGGCGGTTTGTGGAGGGTGGCTTATGGGGTTCCTGGAGGGGTCCAGAGGCCCTGGGCTGTATGGGGGCGTCTGTTAGCCGCTGTATCTAGTCGGGAAGGCCCCTACAGAGCCCATCCCGTGTCATCCAGGCTATGTTCCAGGTGAGTTAAGCCAGCGCATATTTGAAACGGAGGACGGAGCCGGTCGGGACCGACCCAGACACAGGTTCAATCGAGCAAAGTGAAAGTTCGCTCCCAGGTTAAAGGGGATCGGCCGACTGAGGCCCAGGAGTAGGCGCGGCGGGCGCCGGGCTGGAAGCCTGCGCCTTTAAGGAGCCAAGGGGCGGAGGGGCGGGGCAGGAAGCGGGCTCCCGGGAGACGCCGCCACGGGCTAGGTCTTTTTTGGGGGGAAGGGGCGGGCCAGACCCTCCTCGGGCCCCGCCCCCTTTCCGGCGCCCGGGTCCCCCTCCCGCCAAGGGCGCCGGGGGCGTCGGAGCGTGCGGCTCTGGGGAGCTCCCGGTTCGGCGTCCCGCCCACCGGGGCTCAAGTTTGTCGTCTTGGAGGGAGTAACTGGGGCGGGGGCGGGTGCTAATAATACCCGTTCGTTCGGGCGCCGCGCTTTACAGTTTACACAGCTGTCACCTTCGTTACTCCTTAATTACTAATAAAAATAGCCGCTGTTTGGAGGCTCACGGGATGCCGGGCCCTGTGCCGGGAGCTTTACAGGCGCGGTCCCACCGAGTCGGCCCTCGCCGCGGGCCCCCGCCCTGCGGAGCGCGAAGGCGAGGCGCGGAGAGGAGCCGTGACTTGCCCGAGGTCACTCGGCGGGGTCAGCGGCTCCGGGGCGAGACCCGGGGCCGGGGAAGGCGGGGCGCGGGGTGCTACCCCCGGCTCCGCCGGGAGCCGCGGGGGCGGAGCGGCGGGCGGGGCGGAAGACGAGGGGGGTGCGGCGGCGGCGGATGGCCATCTTAAGTGGCCGCTGAGAGTCAAGGGCCGCTTCCCCCGGGGAGGGGGCACCGCAGCGGCCCGGGAGGTGAGGGTCTGCGCGCGGCGGCGGCGGCGGCGGCGGCGGCGGCGGCGGCGGCTGTGCGGAGAAGTCGGGGGCCCGGGGGCCCGAGGGAACTTTCCTCTAGGGCAGGGGGCGGTGCTGGTCTCGGGCTGCTGAACCCCTCGCGGCCCGGGCCTCCGGGGATGGGGGATGGTGCCGGGGAACTTGGCCGGGAGGGGGGAAGGGCCCTGCCCGGGCTGCGAGGGGTTGCCGGGGACCGTGCGTGGGGATTCGAGGACTCCGGACCTTGTCTGAGCGTTTGTGGGAGATGAGGGCGCCCTGGAGGGGGATCCCCCCGCGGGAATGGTCGGGGACTGGACCCGGCGGAGTTTGGGGGCTCAGGTCTAGGAGGGGCCTGGATTTCGCGGGAGTTGGGAGTCCGGGCCCCTCGGGGGCCGAGGACAGGGGTGGGAAGAGGTTCATCTTCGATCCCTCGCGGGTTTCGAGAACTCGACCCGACCCTTTGAGGCTGCGGGGGCGGTGGGTGCTGAATAGAAAGGGTTTGGGGTGCAATTAGACGTTTATGGGAGTTGGAGATCTTGTCCTTGCGATTATTGGAGGGGGCTAACTCTCCGGAGAGGGGGCAGGGATCGCAAAGCGTCCAGGAGCCGGTGGGGGAACTTGACCTTCGAGGGGGGGCTGGGTCTCCGGGGCTCCGGGGCTCCTAGGGGTGGTGATGGCGGGGCAGGATCACTGTGGGTGTGGGGGTCCCGCGTCGTGCGGGAACGCAGGGGCCGTGGCCCCGCCGGGAAGGGGTGGGGGTAGGGGCGCTCGGGCGGCGGGCCGAGCGGCGGGGGCGGGGGCGGGGGCGGGGGCGGGGGCCGGCCGCCCGGCTCTGCGCTGCGCTCCCGCCCCTCCCCCGCCGCCTCTGAACAAACTTTTCTTTCTCTTCAAGTTGAGGCCGGCGCTGCGGGCGGCGGCGGCGGCGGCGGCGGCGGCGGACCGGGCGGCCTGCGCGGCGGGGCGCGGAGCCCCCGACCACGGGCTCGGTCCCGTCCGTGGATCCTCAGGCCCCGGGCCCGACCCCGAGCGACCCGGGGCGGATGGCGCGGGGCGGTGGGCGCCGGCGGCGCTGAGCCCTGCGCGCCATGGCCTCTGCTTGCGGGGCGCCGGGCCCGGGGGGTGCGGGGCCCGGGGGCGCGCTGGGCAGCCCGGCCCCCGCCTGGTACCACCGCGACCTGAGCCGCGCGGCTGCGGAGGAGCTGCTGGCCCGGGCAGGCCGCGATGGCAGCTTCCTGGTCCGAGACAGCGAGAGCGTGGCGGGAGCCTTCGCGCTCTGTGTCCTGTGAGTGGGGCTGGGGCTCCCGGCGGGCGGGGCGCAGCCCCGGGGCCCTTGCTGGGTGCGGAGGGCCTGGGACAGTGGGACGCCAGCGCCCCCAGCAGTGGGGACTTGGCTTCCAGCCGGGCTTGAGGAAGGATGCCGGGGGCACTTCCTTCCTGCTCTGTGTCTGGGGACAGTTTCTGGGGCCTGGAGGGCAGAGTGGGTAGGGTCCAGCTAGCCAGGGTGGAAGCCTCTGGCAGACCCCCAGGCACCCTCCAGGCACACGGGGCGGGAGGGGTGAGGACGTGTGGCTGTGCATTCCAGGGCTGCCTGTAGCTCTGTTTATACGGGATTGAGTGAGCGGTAGGCATAGAGGGAGTTGGGGCCAGAGAGACCAGTGCGTGAGTGAGGATGCCCGGCAGCTTCCCTAGGGATCCTTGCTATGCCCCCAGGCCTGAGGTTGGGACCAGTGTGGCTGTAGATGTCAGGGGCTGAGGGCAGAGTGGTGTTGAGAAGGGAGGGATTGAGGAGGCTCTATGGGGCCGTGTTATTATTTCACAAGTCAATGAGCATGTGCCTGTGCCCGGACCCTGGGTATCCTGGTGGCCCTAGCCCCACCTATGGGTGCGGAATGAGGGGCTAGACTTGGCAGCTCTAGGAGTGGGTCTCGTCCTGTGCCTGTACCCATCGGCTGTGTGTGGCAGTGGTTCTGGGTGAGTTGGTGGGTTTGGAGTCTCTCCCTGAGCTGTCTCCTGTGCCCCAGGGTCTAATACTAGGTGGGCTCCTGTGAGTGTTGTTAGGATCAGGTTATAGTCCACCATAGCCCTGTGAACCCTCCCAAACCCCCATCTTTCTGTCCCTTACCCCGCCTGTTCTACTCACTTTTTGGAGGGTGCGTTGACCTAGGCCAGTAGTTCTCATTTAGGGGTTGGTTTTACCCCTCAGGAACGTTTGGCAATGTTTGGAGACATTTTTCGTTGTCACAGCTGGGATAGTGCTACTGGCATCTAGTGGGTAAAAGCCAGTGATGCCACCAAACATCCTGCAATACGAAGGACGGCCCCTCACAACAAAGAACTGTGCAGTCCAAAATGTTAGTGGTGTTGGGGTTGAGGACCCCTGACCTGGGGATCTGAAGAGGAAGGGCTCCCTAAGTCTCAGCTTATGCCCCAAGTCTGATGCCCAGGAGAGACTAACAAGGGACAGCTTCGGCAGATGCTCCCAGCCCCCTCTGAGGCATACCCTCTAATTAGGGAGGGGAGGGAGGCAGGTGCTGGGTCAGCTGTTGAGTGGGAGGGGGACAGCTGGGCCTGTGTCTGGGGGAGGAACATTATTGTCCCAGGAGGGGAGAGTCCTGGCTCCACTGCCAGGGGAGGAAATGGGTGGAATGAGGGTCTGTCTGTGTTGGGGGCTTCAGCTTTGCCAGCTGACTCTGGCTACTTACATCTCAAGAGCCCAGGGATGGGGGGAGGGTCAGAAATGGGGTAGAAGCCCGGGGGTAGGTGATCAGAAATATACTTGCTTACCTGTATACGTACCCACAGGTACATGGGTGACATTTCAGGACACATCCCTGCTTGCACAAGCACAGGCAATCTGACCAGCCGGCCACGATACAGGCACGGGCCTCTGCCCTGGCTTTAGGTCCCAGCTCTTGTCTTTCACTTACTCTGTGACCTTAGTCAAATTGCTTTTCTGTTGAAGCCTATTTCCTCTTCTGGAGAATGGGGATGATACTAAT